TTCTGCCATAATTGCTTGTTACAAATTTCTTCCTGGGAAAAAATGTTTCAAAGAGAAAAATTATGTTGGCTCTCACAAGGACTCAGCAGTTGCAGTGGTCCTCGCCAAAATCTCCCCAACTTCTCTGTCTAATCGCAAAATTCCTTAACTGTCATTAAGGTCCTAAGCCGCTATAGGAGTCGCTGTACACAATAAGTTTTCTGCAAACCAACGTGATTAGCCAACGATACCGGGCCGCTCGTGTTCGGGGCCAACCCACTTCTGGACGCCCATACCGCAAGACTAAAACCTCCGCAAAATCCGGGACGGACACTCCTGAGTAAAGGCGCGTGAGCCCTCGAACACACTTCCACCAAAGACACTAGATGACCGTGTTCAATCCTGAGATGGAGCCAGTGGTGAAAACTCCCGTCCCAATAGTAAAAGACAATGATGATGAATGGCATTATTACAGAATGACACCTCGAATAAGGGTTCTGGTTGGTAGATCTGACGGGCTGACCTCCGTCACTTACAATCCTGATCTGAGAAATTCCGGCACCAAGGTAGAATTGCCAAAGTGGGTCCTTCTGTTGTCGCGATGTTCGAGCGATAAACCCGTCGTTAACAGAGCGCAACTATTTGGAACAATGCTTCATACTTAGACATGCCCTCAATCGTCCCAAAATATACATCTGCTGTTACATCGGGCCACATCGGTTAGAAGGGCAAACATCGTATCGAGGAGCGGCTTAGCTGGCAAGATGCAGCTCTTGTTTGGCTCGACTACAGCGCCCGAGATGAGCACGAAATCTTTCAAAGGACTAAACTGGGAGTATATTATAATTCAGCCCCTACAACCCTCTTATAAGGACGCGCAGAATGGCCTGTGTGTGTGCAGTTATAAGACGCCCAAAGGGTGATTTACACCTCCATGTTCGACTCACCAGTCACGTTTCCAACGAACAACTGTGACATAACTAAAAGCGAAATCGTCCACCGCATCATCTCGTTCAGACCCAACCTTCAGTGGCCCCGGCATCCAGGTTATCAACTAGAAAAGGAATAGGACTCCGCAAGAGAGGACCTCGAGCACAACTCTGGCCCCATACTCATAAATCCTACAGCTGAAGTATCAGCTTGACCAAACTTTTACGGGAAGCTGGAGCTGAGCGGGCGCAATGGTTCGCGATAAATGGGTTGCAGCACTTGTGAAAAACGCTGCCACGAATGAGAAAATCGCCTTAAACCACGAGTTAGTGTTGGTAACGAAGGAATTGATGAGAATAAATTTTCATACGTACACGTAGCCGCTCGATGAACAGCGGCAGTCCGACTTCGAGCTTTTATCAATACACTTATTCCCTTGCAAACGACCAGTCTTCAGCTATTTCTAAGCACTTTGCCAAGGTCGCAATAAAATGGAAGAAAGCAGACACCGAGATAAGTGTACTGAAACAAAAACAACAAACCAACAAGTTACGTTTGAGCAAGTGAGTACAAAGATTGGTCTGGAATCACGATAGATGAAGTGCACCGCCACAAAAAAGCGTAATATAATGGTGGAAGTCGCATAGAAGAATCACATGATAACATGTGCAAGCGTTCGAAAGACCGGGATTTGAAGGGCTATTTCAGCCAAAGTAGGATAAGCTCAAGTGGTAGAAGCTGAGGTCATACACTGAAGACACTTGGATCCAGTTTCTTGTATTTCATGAACCACAGACACAACATCTTCATCGGACAAGCCCCCATCGCCACCACGAGCACGCACCAGAACTTCGTCTTTTAGGCGCACCAAACTGTCACCAGCTTTGGCAGTCTGCAATTCTTTTAAAGCACTCGGGTAGGCGCCCTTGATCTCCGAAGAGGAAGCCTTCAGTTTGTTTTTAATCCACGTGGACAGCTGGGGCACGAGTTTTCCGTGGACAGGAAGAGGCCAGCCGACAATGCATTGTCCAAAAAGGCCAGCAGCCGCCAGTGCTACATTGGCGAGGTTTAGGAACAACGGGCTGGTATCGGCCTCATCTGCGGCAGCGGTGAGTTGCTGTTCAATCTGGGTAGCTAGGTTCAGGGAGAGCAGTTTGTCTTCGCGTTTTCGTTTGCTGCCGGCCAGCGGAGAACGTAGCACCGCGACAGAGAGGTTAACACCCAGATGATTAGCAGCCAGGTCATCACAGAGGACAAATATCTCGTCCAATGGCTGCTCACTGCTGTCCGGGTCAGGAAGTTCGGCATTAGGACGGAGGCAGCCGTTTAACTTTTGTAGCAAATCGGCCGCATCTCGGGTAGGTCCGACGGATGACAGTTTGCTGAGCATCTGATAGAGGTTCTCCCGATCAGCCGCCGTTATTTCGGCGGGCGAATCGATAGGGGTTGGTGCAGGCTCTGCATCTGTAGGAACAGGTTCTGCATCCGCATCCTCGGCTTGGTCCTCGCTGTCGTCGTCATTATGACGAGATGCTTTCTTATTTTTGCGTCTCTGTTTAGACTTACCGGAAGCAGAGGTTAAAGAAACCTGCTTTGCCGGTTTCGTCTGAACG